TCTTTATTGTTGCCTTGTTCAGCTCTCTGTAATCAATGCACATTCTCATACTTCCATTTTTCTTCTTCACGAATAACATCGGAGCTCCCTAGGGTGATGAACTAGGTCTAATGAAACCTTTGTCCAACAACTCCTGAAGTTGCATCATTAGCTCCTTCATCTCCGTCGGTGCTAATCGATAAGGTGCTTTTGCAATTGGCGTTGTTCCTGGTAACAAGTCTATTCTGAACTCTACTTGTCTATCAGGTGGTAATCCAGGAAGATCTTCGGGAAATACTTCCGGATAATCACACACCACAGGAATACTCTGCATCACCTTCTTCTCCTTCTTAGCATCAATCACGAATGCTAAATATGATGTACATCCCTTGGTCAAACACTCTTTGGCTTTCATTAGGGAAATGATTCCAGAATTCACTCGGCGTTTGTCCCCATACACAATAAAGGAATCTTTTCCAGGCGGGTTTACTTTAACTATCTTCTTCTTGCATAAAATTTCGGCATCATTGGCGCTGAGCCAATCCGTTCCCAACACGTTGTCGAAACCATTAAGTTCGATAGGCAATAATTCCTCACGGAACTTATTCCCATTCAAGTCGATTAAGATGTTTTTCATACGATGGCTAACAGGTACAAACTTGCCACTAGCAACTTCGACTAATAAAGCATTATCTAGTCTATCAACAGGCAAAGCTAGTTTTCTACCAAATTCATGCGATATAAAGGAGTAGTTGGCTCCAGAATCATATAAAATTTGGGCAGGCAAATTGTTAACGAGAAAGGTACCTGAAGCGACATCAGCTTCATCCTTCGAAGCTTCCAGTGTCATCTGGAATGCTCTCGCCTTCGGCTTTGGTGGAATGTTGGGTTTAACTGCCTCCTTCTTCTTCGGACAGTCTTTCAAAATGTGCCCCTCTTCATTACAACCAAAACACATCCTTTTGTGTTCGGACATTCATTGGCAAAATGTCCAACCTTTCCACACTTGTAGCAGGTCACATCCTCGCTACATTTCCCAAAGTGCTTTTTCTTACACTTATCACACCACTTCGCTTCTCTCCCTTTTCCCCCACCAAACCTTTTCGAATCAGATTTCGAAAATTTGGTTTTCTTACCGGAACCAGATGTTCCCTCAAACTTCCTCTTCTCACCAACCTCAACCTTGTTGGTGGTTCTCCCCTTTATCATGTTCTCAACAGACTTGGTAGCCCAGATAGCTGCCTCTAAAGTATGTGCCTGACGTACTGGCACCTCATACTCCCATGGAAGTCCCTTCGCATACCGATCCACCTTAGTCAGCTCGACTGGAACGATACGCAAGGTAAACTCCATCTTATCGGTGAAGTTATTGGTGTATTCATCAACTGACATGCTGCCCTTAGTCAATGTCAGGAACTTGTTCTCCAACTCCAATAGATTTTGAGCCGAGCAGAACTTGCGCTTAAACTGCACCAAGAACTCTGCCCATGACAATTGAAGTGGCTCATTTGGGCTCAAAGTTTTCCCTAGAGTGTTCCACCAACGAACGGCTCCACCTCGGAATTGACGCACGGCATTGATAGTTTGCAACTTACCTCTGCAGCCACACGTCATGAAGGCTAGCTCCATTTCGGATATCCAATCCATAACCCCAATCGGATCCTCCTTTCCATTGAAGGTCGATGGTTTGCAAGTTAGAAAGTCCTTGTACTTGCATCCCATTCCATCATTCCTTCCATCACGGTTGTCTCGTCTAACTATCGGTGGGTTGGCTTGACCAACAGACCCACTAAAGTTTCCACCTTCCGAGTGCCCTTCATTTAATTCAGGCTCTTCCACACGAATTGACAGTTCTTCACGATTCTGTTGAAGCAATCGTCTAGTTTCATCCATCTGACGATCCAACATCGTCTGAATCATCAATTGTACACCGGCCATTGTTATCGGCTCAGGTGCTGCTGCTATGACAGGTCTTTGCTCAATCACTGGTGGTTGATTCCTGTTTTCATCAGCATTTCCAACTCCACTTCTTGTTCTCACCATTTTTGATCTATACACCGCATAAGGTGAAATTAGATCCTCATTCAAGATAGATATTTAAATCATCCTTATCACTCTGAAACATTTACATGCTAGTTCTAATGTCGTAGACGTACGCTTAGAATCCTACACACATAAAGTTTCTAGATCCGGTCGGCAACAGACCATAGATCCGAACAAATAATATCATATATGGCAACATACAACATTTAGCACATAAAGCATTTTAGGCAACTTTCCTAAAATAAACTAGTGCTCGTGTCTAAAACATAACAGACACACATCTCAAAATTCCACTTAGCATTCTAAGTTTAAGTCTAGAAATCCTAAAAATTCCTAGTTCGCTTAAACTAATGCTCTGATACCAACTGTGACATACCCAAAATCTCGGCCAAAAAAGACCGATTTTCATTTATGCTTTTAAAATATTTTCAGAGTAAATCCTTTTGATTTGAAAGAGTTGCGGAATTTGTTCCCCAAAACAAAACATGATAAAACAATGTTTACCGAAGCATTTCATAAAAGAAATGTATTTTCATTATAATCAAAACTCGGGGTGTCATGTTCCGATACAGACCAATAAGCATAAACGAATACATTACAAGTCATATAACAAATATAAACATATGCAGACTTGTAAACAAATCAACTTGATGGCTCATCCATCTCATGCCCTTCCGCCACTTCCTGTAATACAATTTAAAACTGAGTGGGTCAGGCTTGGGAGCCTGGTGAGCATATAGGGTTTTCAACCCACAATAAATAATTAAATTTATTATTATCAACCAACAATAACCCAGTTACCCATTCCCGTTATTCTAACTTTATGTCCCTAAAATAACTAACACAAGGGACCTAATCTAAGAATATTTTCATCGGGGTGACAACACATGCTGCGGGGTTTCCTCAGCAATATAAGTCAAATAAGGCAACCATGAGGGGGATGGAATACAGCGAATGAGCACCCAAGTTCATTAACACCTACAGGTTATAAGCCTGCTAGCGTTCCACAGGACTATCTAGAAAAGTCCGTGGTCGTCATCTAAATTCCGCTAGATGACTGGATCAAACAACAACGAGGCCTCTCATCTGTTTATTACACACCAACTATCTACCCATGTTCTACCCAACATATTAGTAGATAAAAACATACATTTTTATACATATTTTCAAAACTTGTATAGCATGCTTGATCAATACATTTTCCATATAACAGATGAGGCACACACACATAACACGTATTTCATATAGAAATAATCAGATATGTAAGACAGAAGAAAGTGAATATACATTCACACACATAACAACAAAATATACACATAACACGTATCCCGTATAAAATACTTTATAGACATACGTTAGGAGAAAGTAACAACGCGTTCACACGTATAAACGACAATAAACTTAATACTCTCAAACCATACTTGTATTATTATTGCGTTTATGAAAGGTAGTATACACTCACTTGATCAGAAGATGATCGGACAGCACTACGGCTTGCAGAAGTAGTAATCCTCCGCAGATCTGGAAGATCTCTACGAAAATCGAACTTCTCACGGGCAGAGCTTCGGCTCTGAAACCGCACTTCTCGGGATCTTCGGGATCTCGGGACTCGCTTCGGGACTCGGGAATATTACCGGGGCTTCGGGATGGCTTCGGGGGTAAAAACGCAGAGCTTCGGCACAAAAACGAGAGGAAATTAGCAATTAAACCTGGAACCCTCGCATCCTATTTATAGGAGGCTGGAAGCTCCTCGTACACGGGGCGTACGTGCCTCAGAAACGTAAGCGCATGCGTCATCCGAAGTGTCGACACTTTGGTTGTATGCGGGGCGTACTCGAGTACGCGGCGCGTACCTCAGATCAGATCTGTGACTCCCCCTTCGGATAATGCTTCCGAATTTTGATTTAAAAATAAATACAAATTAATTAATAAACTTCGGAAATTCATATCTTCTTCATACGAACTCCGTTTTCGACGTTCTTTATATCCACGGAAAGGTGAGACTACGCTCTACAACTTTTGTTTAGACTCCGTCGGCTAATTTTGACTTTATTTTTATTATTTATTTTTAATAGGCCGGGACAGAAAATTTCGTTATAAATTCATAACTTCTTCGTTTGACGTCCGTTCTCACCTAACTTTTTATCGCTTTGATACTAACAACGAGATCTTCGATTATCGTTTAGATTACTAAGGCTAAATATCGCTCTAACGTAAATTTCACTTTTTACGTTAATCAGCGTTGCCGGTTCTGTCGCGAAACTTCGACAGGTCATAACTTCCTCATGATAACTCGAATTTCGGCATTCTGTATATCTCCGGAAACCTTGTTTCAACTACTACAACATTATCTAAAGATATCAAGTTTATTTTACACTTAAATTTTGACGCTTATTTTTATTCTTAATTAATCAAACCACATAATTAAGCAATTAAGCACAAAACACATAATACTCAAATAATACAATCTTATTATTTCAAAACGGGTTACAAAGGTTAACCTAGACCATTACATTGCTAAAAATGGCAAGCCCGGAAACGCAGACGTTACATTTTGC